ACAACATACCCAAGTTATAATAATGCTCAACTGTATAACAATCCTGCGCAAAAGTCTTGCACTTGACGGTCTCACAATTATTCAATCTAAAATTTGTGGTAAAATGAGTAGTAGAAAATTATAATGCTCTATATTATTATTTATTGGGTGATTGATCTTTACTCTTACAATAATAATATTCGTATATTCGTAACTTATATTGTCTAAAATTATACTTATAAATTGCAATTCTTATATGAACTTATTTTTAACATAACAAAATATATTGTCTTAAGTTATTTACACTTATTTTGGTTGTAATTAAAAAAAATTCTTTCATTCTAGCAATACTCCATAAATAGTACATTAATAAATTAATGTGAAATTGTCTCGACCAAACCTACTTTAAAAAGTTTGTTTATTGCCTTTTGATTATGAGCTCTAGCAGCATTGCAGAAGTCAAAATGCCCAAAGTGCTCTAAAATTCCAATTAGAGCTATTGCTTATACATTTTTATTATTAAATGGTTTGGACTTATTACCATTTTTACCACTAAGAGTATACACTAATTGTGGAATTAAAAGTTTGTTAGAATTGTTTTGTGTCTACATCTTTCGTGATTAAGGAATAAAATTCAATTAACTAATTGTCTAATTGGGTGATTATTCAATTAAACCTAATTAAGAAGTGATTGAAAAGTCTAATTCCTTAGTGTCTTTCTCGCACGTGACACGCATCTACTAATCAACTAAGACAGCTATTTATAATGGTGTGTCAGAAACATATGCAAAAATTCTTATGAAAGTTCTGCAATGGACAACAACACAAATGTCGCAAAAGCCAACTAACATTGTCATTAAATTAATTGTAATTAACTTATGTTTAATCTAATAATAATCCAATCTGAACAGAGTCATTTGATAAGAAACTTAGAATTTACCTAAGATGATTCTTGAGTGTTTAAAAGATAGTCTTTATTTTTTTTTTAAAAATAAATATATATATTTTCCTGAATCTAGTCAAGGAGTGATTGAAACAAACCTAAAAAATACATGGCATTAGTTATTTCTTGAAATTTTCATTTGGAAACCTAGTAGTGTTAGTCCCTATTCTCTTCATTTTGTTCAAATGATATTTTGGACTTGCTTGATCATAACTTTTTAGAGATCTGAGTTTAATGTTTAGCTTATTAATACCTATTAGATGTTTTACCATATGAAATTTTTTAATTCAGGTGCTTGGTAATTAAACAGTTTATTCAAAGAGTTTGGGGTGAAAAACCTCAAAATAGAAGTTTTTAAAATTATTATAGTTATTGAATATTTAGTTTTCAGGTATAGACTGAAAGAGCTAACAATTACGAAGTAACTCATATTTACCAAACATTTTTAAGCCTATCTTCGTTCATATGTAACATTACTATTACTACTCTGTACTCTTTAGTTAGAAACTAATTGGATCTCTTTGGTCCGATACACTTTTCAATATGCACTACGCGATTTGTGAACACTCCCAGTGCAACGCATGAATTTATTTTTCCATATCTATAATTACAAATAATAAAATGAAATTTAGGAACAGTGCCAAAAATAATCAAAACTTTGAGGTAGTATTTCTATTGTTAAAAAAAGAGAGGTAGTATTTCTATTTTTTTTTATTTTTTTTTTATGTATGTATAACTAGAAATCAAACAATAAGTTATAATATTTAACTTGTTTAGTCCCCAGGCGTTACATGGATAAAATGGCTATTATTTATTTAAAATAGTTGTCAATGTTCTTTATTCGATAAAAGTGTAATCATTATCTCATTAATTAATTTTGAAAGAAGTACTATATTTATTTATTCTTAGAACTTAGTAGGATAAAAATAGAGAAAAAAAGGGATGATGTCAAAAATAGTTTAGGCGAGAATTTTTTTTATAAAAAGTTGACATGTGTCTCTTAATGTTATCGGCATGTTTTGTTTTAGTACTCCTTCTGCCCCACAATACATGAGACGTTGGACTTTTTTTCACTATTCATGTATTAGGTTTGACCATAATTTTTTACTAACATTATAAAATATATATTATCTTAAAATATGTTGTTAGATAGGTATTAATATAAAGTTTCATAATATAATTTTTAAAATAATTTTCATTAATATTTAATTATATAAAAATAAAGTCAAACTAGTACATTAGCATGTGTGCAATGTTAACTGTATCATGTATCCTGGGACATAGGGAGTAGAAACTAGACTAGTCTCGTGCGACGCACAATTTGAACAAATAAAATTTTCTAACTTTGTTTATTTTTTCATACCAAAATTAAAAAAAAAATCCAAACAAATAATACATCAAATATTAAAAAGAATAAAAAAAAAATTAGAGCTCATAAAAAAATTGAATGATCAAAAGGTACATGAGGAAGAAAAATTAAATTATTATGTTAGAGAGAATAGACTGTTTTTCGGAAATTGATAATAATAATAATAATAATAATAATAATAATAATAATAATAATAATAATAATAATAATAATAATAATAATAATAATAATAATAATAATATAGCTGAAAATAGAAAAAAAAAATTATATTATGATGACATCATATATAGTTTTGGAGGGAACATTTTTAATAACAACATGACATGTGTCTAATTTTAGGGTAGGATGATGTCAGCGATTGCTATTTTAGAGTATTAGTTATAAATAGTTAATTAATAAATTTGCTTAAAGAATTTTTTATTTATTTATTTATTTTAAATCCATTTGCTTAAAGAATGTTGGTTAACACTATAATAAATGCTAACTTATTTCAAAAAATAAAAAATAAAAAAACTAAATAATTTTGATGTTGGTACGATTTGCCAATATGTCATAATAAGTTATAATTTCCCATACAACATTAAATATTTCCCAATATGTAAATGCCAATTTTTGTACAAAAAGTAATCAATACCAATATTAATAATTGCTCTTAATAATAAGCCAAAAAGTAACATTTAAAATTAAATTCAAATATTGGATTACACTAACATAATATTTGTCAATTCTCACAATTCAAAATAATCTTATAAAAGGATGTTGTTAACGAACGCCCGTGGACGTTAGATAAGCATTTAAAATACATCCTAATAAAGTGGTATTAATTTAGGATTGCATGTCAAAATCACACGGCGATCGGTGTAATTAATGTTCATTTTAATTTATTATTTCTACTTTTAGATATCTTATTGGGGCGGTCGTTAGCTATTTCCACCAAATTCACTCATAAAGAAATCAATATTAATGCATACACAATATGCTAATTATAATTTCCCATAAAACATATGCCAAAATTAAAATATCAAATTAAAGAATATGTTGTATAACTTGTATTCGTTTAATTTTCCCTTATATTGTCTTATCTGAACTTATTAATTAGTTGTAATTTGAATTTAAATAACCCTTATCAAGTTATCAACACTCATATAAATAAAAAATCCTGACAGATATCCATTCAGAAACCCCTTAAGAGAGAGGGCGAACTTCCTTGCGAGAAAGGGTGCGCTACCACTAAATTCGTGGTCAATCTCCGGCAAATATGGTCGAAGAATTGATCGAAAAATGCACAAACCTAAAGCTTTATGAGGAGGAGAACGAAATTGTTGACTTTGGTGAAGTAGATTCGTCTGAACAAGATTCTAGGGTTCCCCTAATGATAGTTGGGAAACTATTGACGGACTGAGGTGTGAATGTGGAAGCTTTTAAGCGGACAATTACCCAGTCTAAGTCGATGAAGGGGAAGGTTATAATTCGCGGTATCGGTGCAAATCTTTTCGTTTTTCAATTTCTCCATTGGTGTGACAAGGAAAAAGTGCTTGTTGGATGTCCATGGTGCTTTGAACAAAATTTTTTAATCCTTAACTCAATTAAAGGAGATGAACAGCCAAATGAGGTTAGCCTTACGCATTCCCCTTTCTGGATTCGTCTCGAAAATTTGCTTTTCAATTGTCAAACTGATGTACATGTTAAGGCCATCTCTTCGAATTTAGGCGAGTTGGTTGAAATTAAGGATGATATACTTGGCATTGGTAAGAACCACATAGTGAAGGTTATGTTGGATGTTAATAAACCTCTACGAAGATACCAGAATGTTAAGAACAGGGGAGGAAATATTGTGAAAATTGATTTGAAATATGAAAGGCTCTCGTTTTTCTGTTTCTTCTGTGGAATTATGGGACATAGTGTGAGGGATTGTATCAATGTCTCGGATGATACTCATAGCCAGGGACTCGGTTGGGGCATCTAGTTAAAAGCATCTCCCATGCGTGGGAAAAAACAGAATGTTGATGAGATTAGGGAGCTTCACATAGCAAAGAGGCTTTAGTTTGTCCTGAAGCAAACTCATAAAGAAGTTCAAAGTGGGATGAGAGTGAGTGGGGAGGAGAAACTCAAAGGGAGAAGGAGGTGATTGAGGGTGAGAGTGATGTTCAATTAGTTGCCACTACTGGAGAGGGAAATAAAAGGAAGGATAAGGGGGCTGCTTGTCAGGGGTGTACTATAAATGTTGTTAGGGAAGTAGGAAAATCTGGAGATTTGGTTCAATGGGTTGACTCAAATCACGAGGGTGTAAAAGAGGGTTTATTGTTAGATGCTGAGATGGGAAAGCAGGGGAGTGAGGTGGGGAAATTAGGTGAGTCACATGTTATGCTACATAGGAGTGAGGTGGAGCGGGGGGCTCGAGGTATCACAAGTAGCAACATGTTTCCTACTTTTAATATTGGAGTGGGGCATACTACTTCTCACCCCTCAAAGAAGTTTAAAAAGAAAGCAAAATCCTCTAGCTCTGATATTGTGGTGGGGAATGCTATGATTATTGATGACAAAGGGGGTAGAAAAGGAAAAGGTGGGGGGATGTGATGGATAGGGAGTTGGAGTGTGAGGTAGGGGAGGTGAAGAAACTGAAATGTATGACGGACTCGGTGGATGTTAGTATTGAACAAAAAGTAGCGGAGGTTGGTGATGAGTTGATGACCATCTCCGCAAACAACAATGAAAATCTTAGCATGGAACTGTTATGGGATTGGCAACCCATCAACAGTCAAGGCTCTCCAAGATTGGTGTTGGAGAGAGAGGCCAAATGTGGTGTTCGTTTCGAAAATTAAAATTGATTCACAAAGACTAGAGCTGATTAGAAATAGATGCAGCTTTACTAATGGCTTATGCATTAGTAGTTCCGGAAGATCGGGAGGAATTGGTTTATGGTGGAATAATAATTTAACAGTGAACATTAGTGGCTTTTCGGCCCATCATATTTGTGGGGAGGTTTGCAATAATGAAAATGAGCCAAGGTGGAGATTGGTTGGTATTTACGAATGGCCGGAAGCAACTAATAAGCATTTGACATGGAATTTGATGAGGTCCACTTATGCCTCCTCATCTCTTCCGATTTTGACGTTTGGAAATTTTAATGAAATTCTGGGAATGCATGAAAAAGATGGTGGTGATACTCGCGGGGAAAGACAAATTGATGCTTTCAGGGAGGCCATCGATGATTGTGATTGCAGGAATTTGGGTTATAAGGGTAATGTGTTTACTTGGCAGAGAGGCACCTCGATGGAGACTGTGGTTCGGGAACGCCTTGATAGATATATTGCGAGTAGTGGGTGGTGCTCTTTATTTCCTTCCTTTGAGGTGATTCATCTCCTTATTTGTCATTCTGATCATGCACCGATTTTATTGAAGTTTGGTGAAAGCGAGGTGGAGCAAAAAAATGGAAATTTTTTCAGATTTGAAGCGCTTTGGCTTTCAAAGGAGGAATGTGGTCTGATTCATGAGAGAATTGCTAGGGTGGCAGAGGGATTATCATCATGGGCTGCTGCTACTTTTGGGGTGATTAAAAAGAAGATCAAGAAGGTTGAGTCTCGGTTAAAAGAAGCGCAAAGACAGCAGCTAGATGCCCGTCGCTTGAAGCAATGTGTTGAGCTTGCTCAGGAACTTATTAGTGACCTTCAGAAACTTGAAGAGTCATATTGGCACGCAAGATCAAGAGCAAATGAGTTGCGTGATGGAGATAAAAATACAAAATATTTCCATCATAAAGCAAGTTAGAGAAAAAAGAAAAATACAATAGCGGGTTTATATGATGAGCATGGTTCATGGAAGTCGTTGAAGAAGGATATGGATAGTGTTATAGCAAGCTATTTTGGTGATCTTTTTGCTTCGAGTAGCCCGAGTAACTTTGATGAGGCCTTGTCCGGGATTGAGAATAAGGTGACTGAAGATATGAGCGATGTTCTTGATACGGAGCCGACAACAAAAGAAGTTAAAGAAGCTCTTTTCCAGATGCACCCAAATAAAGCTCCTGAACTTGATGGAATGCACACCCTTTTCTTTCAAAAATTCTGGAGTAATGTTGGTGATGATGTGGTCAGATTTGTGAAGTCTTGGTGGAGGGGTGGAATTGATCTTTCGGAGGTTAATCGTACTTGTATTGTTTTAATTCTGAAATGTGATGAGCCTAAGAATTTAGGCCTATTAGTTTATGCAATGTGTTATACAAAATCATCTCGAAAACTCTTGCAAATAAATTAAAGCCTATTCTTGGTTCTCTTATTTCGGAAAATCAGAGTGCTTTTGTCCCGAAGCGGCTAATTACTGATAATGCACTTATTGCCTTCGAAATTTTTCATGCCATGAAAAGGAAGGGGGAAGGCAGAGATGGCAATGTAGCACTGAAGCTTGATATAAGTAAGGCCTATGACAGGGTGGAATGGGTCTTCATTGATACAGTTATGTTACAGATGGGATTTCGGATAGCATGGATTAATCAGATAATGCAGTGCCTTTCGAGTGTTTCGTTCTCTTTCAAATATAATGGCACTATCTCGGGGGCATTAACTCCATCTCGGGGTCTCCAACAAGGTGACCCAATCTCGCCATACTTATTTCTGATATGTGCAGAGGCTTTCTCTACAATGATATCAAAGGTGGCGTCGGATAATTTGATTCATGGGGTGAAGGTTTGCAGGGATACACCAAGGGTCTCTCATCTTTTCTTTGCGGATGATAGTATTTTATTTGAGAAGGCCAATTTGCATGATTTCTCTAAAATTGCTGATATAATTAGTAGCTACGAAAGAGCTTCAGGACAGAAAGTCAATCTAAGCAAAACTGAAGTAGCTTTTAGCAAATGTGTGAATGCGGAGAGAAGGAAGTTGATTGTTGAGACTCTCGGTGTTAGGGAAGTGGATAGACATGAGAAGTATTTGGGGTTGCCGACTCTTATTGGAAGACCGAAGAAAGCAGTTTTCACTTGTCTCAAGAAGCGTATTTGGAAGAAACTCCAAGGATGGAAGGAAAAATTGTTATCTTGCCCAGGGAAAGAGATATTAATCAAGGCGGTGGCACAAGCAATTCCAACTTACATGATGAGTATCTTCAGAATTCTAGATTGTCTCATTAATGAAATTCATTCAATTTTAGCTCGGTTTTGGTGGGCTTGGATGGTCAAATAAGAGGATTCATTGGCATAGATGGGAGGATCTTTGTCTTCCTAAATCGTTAGGTGGTATGAGATTTAGGGACCTTAAATGTTTTAACCTTTCTCTTCTTGCGAAACAAGGGTGGCGGTTATGTGTTGATAATAATACATTGCTGTAAAAAATCCTCAAGGCCAAGTATTTTAAATATTCTGATTTTTGTGGTGCATCAAGAGGCTTTGATCCTAGTTACACGTGGAGGAGTATTTGGGGGGGGGGGCAAAATCCTTGCTCCTTGAGGGGTTAAAGTGGAGAGTGGGAAACGACTCTTCTATTAAGGTTTGGGAGGATGCTTGGCTTGTTGGTGATAATACTCTTTCTACCCCTACCCCCCAATTGAACTGTGATATTGATTTGCGGGTTAGCGAGCTTATTGATTTTGAAAACGGATGCTGGAACTCTGAGATGGTGGCAGCTACATTCAGGGAAAGGGATGGACTTGCTGTTCTTGATATCCCTCTGTCGAGTGTGTGGGTGGAAGATAAGAGGTTCTGGTGGCCTACTAAGTCGGGTTTATTCTCTGTAAAATCTGCTTATTGGCTAGGAAGACTGGGTAAGGTACGTTCGTGGGAATTGCTTTATAATGACAGTGAGTGTGAACTATGGAAAGAGGTCTGGGAAATAAAAGGTCCTCCAAAATTATGCCATTTCGTTCGGAGGGCCTGTAAAGGGTCTCTTGGTGTGATGGAAAGGCTGTAATTCTGTCATATAAGGCCCTCAATCATGTGTTCGATTTGTGGTGCTGCAAGTGAGTCCATAATTCATGCTCTTTTCTACTGTAAACACGCTTTGAGTATTTGGCAGCACAACAATTTCCTTGACTTGTGAAATGATACATCGATGTCCTCCTTTCAAGATTTATTTTGCTAGGTTTTGAGTAAACTTGACAAAGCAAAGCTACGACATTTTTTATGTCTGGCGTGGGCAGCATGGTGTTGTAGAAATAAGGAGATTTTTTTACGAAGCAAATGACAGCAATGGTGTGATGCTGGCTGCGAGTTTCGTTAGATTATGTGATGATTATTGTGTCTACAATGCTAGAGTTGGTGGGGGTGGTCTAGCACTTGTTACATTCTCTAAAGCTAGCAGGGTACCGCCACATTGCAACTTTGTAAAGGTAAATGGTGATGCCTATGTGCCTAGAATTGGAGGGGTCTGCTTGGGTGTGGTTGTTCGTGACGAATGGGGCAAGTTGCTGCTTGTGGCAACGAAGATAACTTCCTGCAGGCGGGCATCCGAGACTGCAGAAGCTGTTGCTGCACACTTTGGAGTTCAGCTTGCGTGTAGGTTTGGCTATGGAAATGTGGTGCTTGAATGTGATGCTATGAATGTGGTGCGTGCCATTAGAGACAAGCAAGAGGGTGCGGCTCCAATCTTCCATTTCTTTGAGGATATTGGTAGGATGTGTAATGATTTCGTTAATTTTAGTTGTGTGCATGTTCGACGGGCGGGGAATACTGTTGCTCACTTAGCGGCCAGGTGGGATACGAGTGCTAGCAATGAATATATTTGTACGGATTCTATCCCCCAAAGTTTTCAATCTTTGGCGGATCTTGATTTAATAAATTAATTTTCTGTGTTTGTCTTAAAAAAAAAAGGTATCAGGACTCATCAAACTTATTTTTTTCTAATTTTTTTTTATTTAAACTTATTTAAAATTTTTAAAAAAAGACATTAGTTTAGCTCAAAAAGAAAAATAAAATAAAATTATCAAGCTCAAAAAGATTTTAATACAGTATCAATCTTATTTAATGTTGTTAACTAGATTATCCCCTTGCAATGTACAGTTTTAACAAAAAAAAATTATAGTGTAGAACTTGTATATGCAATGAATCTTTCAATTTTGTCATAAATTCATTGGAAGGAATACAGTTACTATTCAATTTACTTGCTTTACTCTGATTTTCTAGATTAAACTTGTTGAAAGAATTTACTTAGCTTGTTTACAAAGTATCACACACACAAAAAAAAAAAAAAAAAAAAAAAAAAAAAAGAGTATCACAAAAAAGACATCATCAATGGTTTTAGGCGGAATTTTTTTTTTAATAAGAAAGCGACACGTAGACAGTTTTGAGGAGAGATGATGTCAGTTCTGTTTAGTAATAGTTAATAGATAAGCCAAAAATGTAACTCCAAAATTAAATTGAAATTTTAGATTACAATCAACATATTACTCGTATTTGTCAATCCTCCATTATTTATTTATTTTATTTATTATTATTATTATTTTTTTTAAGGAAAGTCAATCCTCCAATTTCAAAACAATTAAAAAAGAATATTCAATGCCAAAGTAAATAAAATTAAAAATCGTCAAGATAAGATCTTAATAACCGTTATGTACGCAGCATCACTGTAGCTCAGGCTGCCACCAACTGAAATTCAAAAATAATTTCCAATTTGCCTTGCCATATCCACTCACCAATAACAAATTTACATTCAAATCATTCCTTTAAATTATCAATTTAATATTCTTCTTATTATCATAAATCATCCCCTTAAAAAAAAAATACATAGACAAATCAAAGAGTGAAACGTGGAATTATAAATTCTTAATTTATAATTCTATTTAAAAATAGAAATACGGTTTAATACGGTGGGGTCAGAAAAGAGTGTAGCTGAAAGCATCCGTATAAGCTAAGCTGGAACTGTAAAACTTAAACGGCACAAAAGGGCATTTTCGTCATTTCACCTCCCGCCCTTCCTTTTTTTGCTTCGAGAAGAGAGAGAATTTGAAGAGGAAAATTAATTCCAATTTCATTTCTCTCTCTAAATATCATACCACTTCAAGTAGTAGCACAAGCTAAACAAACTCAGTGTCAGAGAAACAACACCTCTAATTTTTTTTTTAACAAATTTAATTATTCTTTGCGTGCCATATTATCATAATAACATCAACAATTTGATTCGGATTTCTTAAAATTAATATAGTAGAGTAAAACAAATAAGTATACATAATAATTATAATACTCGCATAAGATAGTGAATTTCATATTGAAAATTTTGGAATTGTACATTTTGGGAAATATAGGAGTTAAAGAAGGAAATGGAGCACCGAGGAACTCCGGTGAGAAAACCTCACACTTCAACTGCAGATCTGCTTACTTGGTCGGAAAATCCTGCCGCCGATTCGCCTTCTCTCTCCTCCTCTAATCGCCCTATTCGCAACGTCCAGGTAATTTCTCTCTCTTTTTTTTTTATTTAAATTGAAAAAAATGGGTTTATTTTTATTTGGGATTTTCATTGTAACATAAATTTTCTGGGTTTTTATCTAATTTTAATTTATGTGTTTTTTTTTTCCTGTTACAGAGAAAATATCTGTTTATTTATTTATTTTTTTATTTTTAAATTTGGATTTTTCTGGGATTTTTTAAATAATTAACAAAATAATATATTGGGTATTTTTTTTGAAAGCAATATATTGGGTATTAATAATAAAAAAGAGTGATTTTTTTTATTTTTTTATAATTAATTTTAATTTCTGCTGGGAAATGAGCAGCCATCGGATGGGATCAGTAAGGTGGTGTTTGGAGGTAAAGTGACAGATGAAGAGTTTGAATCCTTGGTAAAAAGGTAAGATCTGATTTTTATTTTTTGTAGTTCAATTTTTTACCAAACAAATTTTTTTTTTCTCACGTTTATCTTGTTTGTACCTCTTTTTTACATTAATTTTGTAATATTGTTTGTGAATTTAAGTTGGATTCATCGGATCTTCATTCTTCACATGTAGAGTGGACTAGAAAAACTGTTTATAATGTGAAATGATTCAAAATAGGAAATTTGGTTGTATGATCAATTGTCTGTTCATTGTGTTCAATAAGAGTTGTCATTATTGATTTGTGTGAATTGTCCTATGCTATTGTTATTGCTTTGGGATTAAGGTTTATTTGCTTATAATTCGGTTATAGTGTTATATAGGTAAGTGTAATTTGTGTTTGTAAGGATATAATGTTTGTTTGCAATTTAAGTGAACTCTGTGTTTTCGACTTTTTGATTGATTGGATTGATGGTTTACGGTGTTTTGTTGGATTGATGGCGAAAGATTGCTGTCGTGATCAATTTCTTCTGTTTGATGCTACTATGTATTTGTCAATTTTTTGTTTGTTTTAATTGATGTTCAATGTTGATACGAGTGGTTTGTTTCTAAATAGAGCGAAGTATAATTGATTGAATAATTGCTCATCTTCTCCAAGGGGATGCATGTTTTTGTGGATTGGTTGGATTGTTTGTTGCAACTTGGAAAGGGATCTGTATATAACAAGCGAATGTAATGTGCCTAATCTCAGGAAACCATGCTCTGCTTACAAGTCTAAAGAGATGATTGGTAGTCGCATATTTGCCGGTGAAGAGGAAACCGATGACCAAGAAGCTGAAGGTGCCAACCAAATCCCGGGTAACAAAACTGGCGTTCGTATGTACCAGGTATACTATGAATCATCCCCTTGCAGTTGTGTATTGATTGGTAATACGAGTGAACACTATCATGATCAACAAAAAATCGAGGTCCATGCCCCGGTCAAGTACCCCCTTGTCATGACATTACTGGAAATTAGTGGCTGTTGGAAAATGATAAATGGAGCTACTAGTCTGCTCCCAGATTACAAACAAACTTAGGTGTTTGTACTTCCTAGGAAATTGCCACTTTGTCATGATATGTTTGGTCAAATGTCTTAGAGAAGCTTCTTGTTTTGCTTTGCCTTGTTGAAAATTTGTTTATCTTTTATGGTAATTGATAATTAATAGTTCTTCTATGTTTGGTTAGTATATAGCGACGTACTGATGATCTTGCAATATTTTATGGTGATTTGGTGTACCAGCAAGCTCTTACTGGAATGAGTCAAATCTCATTTGGTGCTGATGATGAGAGCCTTTCTCCAAAGAAACCTGCCACCTTACCAGAAGTGGCAAAACAGCGAGAACTGAGTGGAAATCTGGATAGCGCGGCAGAAGCAAAGTTGAAGAAACAACTCTCAGATGCC